CAACTTTATCAAGCATGATGTTCTTCTCTAGGGGCTAATCTCTCCTGATAACGTCCAAAGTACATGAAAAGAAGTATCAAGATCCTTGTATTCTGGCTCTACTTCTTCCAACATAGATTTGTTCATTCTTCTGGAAACCCCTGGTATATTCAATATTTTCACCAACACCGTAATTCAAGCCATCAATTCTTTGGTCTTCTTCATTGATTCTTCTTCAGTGTTCACATGCATATGTAGGTAGCAATCATGGGGCAGGCACACTTTGGTTCTTCAAGAGACAGCTTTGTTTTTGAACACTTTAAAGAGTTCTTTTGCAGATTTGCCCAGTAAAATAAATTATTTTATTTCTTGACCCCTGTTTCTGTGGATGTTGACTGTGAATCTAAATAAAATGAAATATTTTGCTGCAAATATATCCATGAATATGGTGGATTATACAGGAGGCAATTTTACTTGGGGCTCAAGACTTGGGGGACACCAAGGTCAGCAGGCATAATCCACAAAGTTCTACATCATGCTTTGGTGAGTAGCAACTGGGGTCTTTAAAGTTCATGAGCCCCATCTAAGGTACAACTATTGGACTTCCTCTGTTTGAAAGAAAGAAGTGATAAAAATAGAAGACACTTGGAAATTTTAGTCCAATGGGCTAACAGGTGATGCAAACATCAGTGGCCACAACCCTGATACCAGAACTCGACAGTGTCTGGCTACCACCACCATATAATCTGAAAGGGATAGCCTTAAAAGATGTTGGATCAAATGAGAGAAAAATGTAAAATAAAACTAAAAAACATTTAAAAATCCATCCTTACTGGATATAGAAATAGAAATTGGTAGAACCCTTAAGACAATGGCTGTAGCTATCCTTGAGGTCTGGAAATGAACTCACCCTCAGTGGCCAATTTTCAGCCAAACAATAGACATGTCTACAAGGAGAACGGAGTCCTGGTGTGGCACTGTGGACTAATGTGCTGGACTGCAAAGTCCTCGGAAACTATACAGGTAGGTTGACTATGGGTCGGAACCAACTCAATGGCACTTAACAACAACAATAACATAAGGATAATGGCGTCCTGGTGCAGCACTGTAGGATAAGCACTGGACTGCAAGGTTTTTTGAGCTGCAAGTTGGCAGTTCAAACTCACCAGCCCCTCCTTGAGAGCCTTACACAGGGTGGTGATGATTCGGAACTGACTCCACAACACTTAACAACAACATAAGATGAATGGAGTCCTGGTGGGGCACTGTGGGATAAGCACTGGACTGCAAGGTAAGTTTGAACCACAAGGTCAGTGGTTCAAACTCATCAGCTGTTCCTCGGAAATCCTAAACAACAGAGCTATGAGTCAGAACCGATTTGATGATAACATGTAACAATAACAACATAGATCAGGGAAATCCTGGTGTGGAGTTGTAGGATAGGCACTGGAATGCCAACCACAAGGTCAGCACTTCAAATCCATCAGCCATTTCTCCAAAACCCTATAGAGGTTACTATGGTTCAGAACTGTCTCCCCTGCACTTAACAACCACACAGGAAGAATAACAGAACTGGGAAATAATAATATGCATACCTTAGAATAATCTACCGTTTAAAATCAAAAGAGTAGCATTTACCCAAGGATAAAGTTCAGGAAGTTTTGGTAAGTAGGAGGAATGGAAACAGGAAACACAGGATTAAAGTGGGATAATGATGTTACATTGAGTATATAGCATGATATGCAATATGATATGAAACAAAATCTATATAAATTGTTGAATGTGAAATTGATCTACTCTGTAAACTATAAAAAGTTAGAAAAATAAAAAAAAAATCCTTGACAACTTCAATCTTTTAATCTTTTTCCATTGACCATGATGATCCTTATTGGTTCAGTTGTGAGGATTTCTGTGTTCTTTATTTTGAGGTAAAATCCATAAAGAAAGCTATAGTCTTTGATCTTCATCAGTAAGTGCTCCAAGACTTCTTTAACAAGCAAAGCAGTTTATGTCATCTGTATATTGCAGGTTGTTAGTAAGGTTTCCTCCAGTTCTGATGCCACATTCTTCTTTATATAGACCACAGAGGATACAACCCTGATCCATACTTTTCCTGATTCTAAATCATACAGCAGATGTAACAAATATAATCATATAAACAAAAGAGGTAATAACTATCTTATATGTTGTTGTTAAGTGGCGTTGCGTCAAGTCAGTTCCAACTCACAGCAAACTTATATAGGGTTTCCAAGGAGCGTCTGATGAGCTTGAACTGCCAACCTTGTGGTTCAAACCAACCTTGCAGTCTAATGCATTAATCCAAAGAGCCACATCAGGGTTTCCATATTTTAAATATGCTTTTGTTAAGTTCTGTTAAGTCAGTTTTGACCCATAGCAACCCTGAATAGGGTTCCCAAGGAGCTTCTGGTGAGCTTGACCCACCAATCTTGCTGTTCAAACTGACTGTGGTTCAGCATATTTACCCAAAGCGCCACATCAGGACTATTATTATTTTTTTTTTTCATGAAGCAATATAAATTAAGGGACTGATACAGAGTAAATAATACTTTGAGGATTCTAAACACATTGTCTTACAACTAATTTTCCATCTTATTGTAATGACTGAATGTGTTCACAACAATGGTTGCATATGAAGCATGCAGACAGAATTAATGGTAAATAACTACCAACAAGTTGAAAGGGGATATCTATACGAACTCATATCAACAGAACTTGGATAAACTTTCATTTTAAAACTACATATGAAAGGGACAAACTAAAAGGTGTAATACTAAACAGAAAACATCCTAAAACATATATTAACCCCAAATTTGTCAAACATTTCAAACCTATTTTTGGAAATACTGGATATCAACTTTCTATGCCAGGAATTTAAGGACTCAGTGCTTAGGCATTTGTTGAAAACAGATGTAGCATTGTATGACATTGGCACCAGGTTTCCTGCGAAACACCAGATGTAAAGTTTGGCCAGATAGAGAACCCAGAGAATTTGGGAACATTACCTACAAGAGGCTAGAATCTGCACGTGCAAAACTGAAGTGCAGCATTCCTTACGCAATGATTCCGTTCTAAAAATTTGAGCCAGTGGATATATTTTGACAGATGAATCATGTAACATATTTGATAGCATTTTTTAAATTGCTAAGTAATCATTATTTCTCCAAAGGATTCTGACTTGTATAGTACTCCTAAAGTTATGAACGTCATTATAGATTAACAAAACATGTTAAAGGCTTTAGCTTTTCTGTTTCACTGTCAGAATGAAGCAATTACTAGACTACCATAGCATAATATACATAATTAAATGCTAGAACATTTGGATCAATGCATGCTATGAGATCTATTAACTTTTGCATCATTTTGGACTAGAGTTCCGTATAGAAAATCATTAGGGAGCAATTAAATTGTCGATGGACTTAAAAGAGATATTTTATTTGATTGGACTAAAAGGTGGCAAATAGTAACGTAGCTTAAAGACAAGTAATATGTTTTTTTTGGTTCTATTCTCAATAAATGTGAGTAGATATGGCATTCATGATTAAAAAATAATATATTCACCATGTCTACTAAGAAGAGGAGGTACTAAGAAAAGAAACTATTCAAATCTCATAAATTTCTACAAGTTTTGTAATAATTAAATGCATATGCAATTTTAAAAATATGTTTGACAAATTAAATGAGACAATGTAGAAATATGAAGAAACTTAAGTACCCTACAAAGGATAAAATCATCGCCAATGTAAAGGCAGACCACCCAAGCTTTTTCACAGCAATATAACCATAAATATTTTTTGCATAGCTTACCTAAAACTCCTATAGGGAGTAATTATTTCAAAAGATTGTTTCACAGTTCGGTCCACTTGCTTTACATTTGCTACATTCATAGGAATTATGGTAATACCAAGTCCACTCTTAAAATCCTATTGGGGAGAAAAATAAAAATTAAAACAAACACAACAATGGATTTTGAAACTCTAATTATATTTCCTAATTAACTCTTTCAAAATTTATTATACCTATATGTCTAAAATATAATACATTTTAAAGTGGATTGAGAGTTATTTTCTGGTTTCAGATAGTCCCTTTTAGTACTTTTTCAATTATACTATGCCATTCTGAACTTGCAGTCCTGGTGTGGCGCTGTGGGTTAATGTGCCAGATTGCAAAGTCATTTACACAGCACGGTTGGCATTTCAAGCTCACCAACTGCTCCTTGGAAAATCCATACAGGGGCGCTATGGGTCGGAGCCAACTCAACGACATTTAACAACAACAATAATTCTGAACTTAGCAGTTAGGCAATTAGTATAGCATGATAATTCCCTTCACAACAAAGGTAAGCTACCTTGACCACATAGCTTGAACTACATTTGTCTTGTTTTTAACGGAAAGCACTATATTCACCTTTATACTTTCAGTGAAGGAAGCTAACAATCAGCTAAAATCTACTATGTGCCAAGCACATTACTAGTTGAGGAGACAAATGATACTGTGATGTTCACATAATTACCATGTATAAAAAGAAGAAACCAAACTGCAGACACAGTTACACTGAAAGTAAAGCTACTTGATCTGGCAGAAAGGAACCAGAACTCAAGTTATCTGATTGTTACCTTGTCATGGCTTCCTTGCATTAACTGTATCAAGCAGAAGGATTACCTATTTCATGAAGTATGCAATTTTATATAATTTCCAATATTATATTACATTCCTATTCCTCTTGTCATTCTTAAAACAGCTCCTGTAATGGTATTTTGGTGGTTGTGTGCCG